ACGCTTGAGAGTGTCCCGAGTCCTGGTCTCAAGGTCCTGCTTCCATATAGGAACGCTTCCCTCTTCCATCAGTCTCTCGGTCCTCAACTTTTCAGTATGGCAACCGGGGCACAGCGATCCTTTCTGAATTTCTTCAATCTTCACGAAATAATAAACAGTCTGCCAGATTAGAGCACGCCACCGTTCAGGCACTATTCCGTCAGCGATGCGAGCATCGTGGTCCTCCGCGGAAGCACTAGAGGAATTACCCGGTTGTCGGTTGAAGTCTAAGGCGATATTGGCCTCGATCACGGTAAGGTCCACGACTTCCGGTTCCTCTGCAGGGGTTGACCCACTCGATTCAGGAAAGTGAACGGTTTCCACCTTAATCGTCTTGAGGGGAAACACTTCGGGATCGGTTCCCCCACCCTCGTCTCGGCCATCCGACGCGGTCGCCACTACTGAACCGACATGATCCGGAGGTTCTTCTTTGAAATTACGGTTGGCACGCTTGGCCGCACCCGTCGAGACCAGCGTCTTGCGATACCACTCTAACCAGTATTCAGGGGTAGACAACCGTCCGGGTGAAGACTCACGAGTCCGCTCCAGTTTCTCCTCAGGAATGCAAGAGTACTGAGCTCGGCTAGAGACAGTTCCCTAGACCGTTCAGCGTTCTCATCTTGTCTTCGTTTCAGCTCGACCTCGTCCAGGGGAAACAGTCTATATTCGAGCTTTTTGTCGTATTCCTCCTTCTCGTCAGCTGCTCCAACGTCCTTTCCTTCTTGTAGGGCATCCAGTTCCGCCTTCGAGAACACTCGCGCGTACGAAGGCGTTATCTCGTGTCCTTCGACAGCGGTTGCGATCTCTTTAGCGTCCATCTCCGGGCTAGTGTTATCATCCAGGCTAGTCTCCGAGTCCGTTCTTTCTAGTTCAACGCCACCGGCTGGAATGCCCTCCTCAGCGACTATAGGCTCTTCCAGTTGGGTTTGAACGAACACTTCTCTCTCTTCTTGACTGTGTCCGCTCCGACCCAGTGACTCCTCGGGTCGTTAATGATGTTAGCGAGCTTACTCACACTCGACTCCACAAATATTCGTAGTTACCCTTCACTATTGGGACTCCTCGTCCCACTGCGTTCTCAGGTTGTAGTTTTATCTCTCGCAGGTAACACGGTTCCTCAGTTATTGTTCTCTCGTTGCGTCGGCCACTCATCTCGTTACTGTTACTGTCTTCTTCTTCTGCACTCTCTTGTACTGCACTCTCTCGTTCCACACTCCACTCTTGGCTTGCTCCGGGGACCATAGACGCACCGTCTCGTACGGGCTCGAGGGCTCCAAAGGTCATTAGGTATTCCTTTCTCCACTTTTCCAGTTACACACTCTCTTTCTTCAGGCGATTCACACTTATCCAACACGGTGGGTTTTACTCCACCCAGCATAGGACGCACTTCATACCTAACGGTCGACTCCTCCAAGGAGTTCGAAGTGTTCCTACTTGTGTCGTTCCATTGACAAGAGGAAGGAGCGACACTCCCTTCCCCTCCCTCTCGCCCCCATCACTGCTGTCGGGGCGCTTGTCCTTGGACTGGTGTAGACGCTTGAGGAGTAGCCGTTCCAAGAGTCTTCAGAGACGCCTTCAAAGGACAGTCCGAAAGCAAGTGACCAGGTTCGTCACACAAGAAGCACTTACGACCGTTCCTCGGCGGGTTGTTCCGATAACTGTTCGTGGGAGGATGTTCACACTCGACGCTGACATGACCCAAATCCTTACAGTTGGTGCAAGTCGCCCTACCTCGGCGACTGCTGAGCCGGTTACATCCAAGAACGTGACACCTACCACACACAATCTGACCGTCTTGAGTGTACAAGTCCGGGCCATGACGAACGCCACGGGACGGGGTAGTAGGAGTGGTCGCGGCCGGCTGAGCCTGAGGTATCGGAACACGCTGAGCAGGAGGAGAGTAAGCAGCAGCCACATTCATGACAGGAGCCGGGTAAGCAGCAGCCAGAGGACGTTCCAGCAACTGTTGCTTCTGTTGCTGTTGCTGCACTAGCAAATTCTGGGTCTGTTGCATCATGTTCATCATCCGTTCCAAAGCAGCGTTCTCGGTGCGAATCGTCGAAGTGTTCTCGATCTCCTCGTCGTTGTCGGAAGGGAGATGCATGTTCTTGAACAGTAACTGAGTTACAGCACCACGGATAGAGTCAATCATACTCCCGTCGAGAGCAGCTCTCCACTGCTTGTTTTGTAGTCCCGATAGGAAGTACTGATAGCGTATTTGCTCGTCGTAACACTGAGCGTCATTACGAGATCATGTCGCCCCACACTTCAGCGGACATTCCTCGCGGACGCTTAGTGTTCTGGAGCTTCTCGATCAGCTGCAACGGGGTCTGGCAGATAAACTGGTTATGGAACCGGGTTCGGAGAGTGTCAAAAGAGCTGATACGAGAGTACGTCCACCAATCCTCACCAGTCTTGACCTTCAGGCACTCGCGGAAAGCACTTAGACGAATGGATTCCTCCAGACCCACAGTAGCACGCTCAAAAGAGTCCCAGAACGTCTTCGCCTTCTCGACCGACGCTCCATCAGAGTAGAACGGCTGAATCATGCGGATAGCGTTCCGGATGTTAGTAGGCATCCCGAAAGGCACCACTGCAGCCGACGGCGCGGGATGACTGTACCCAGAGGCGTAGTTACTGCCATAACTTCCGTTAGGGCCGCTCCATGGAGCTCCTCCAAAGTTCGTCGACGAGTAATCAGGCACAGCGGTCCCATATCCTCCAGACGGACCAACTCCAGCAGCAGAGGGTTAAACAGTTGGACCGAATCCACTTGTCGTCGGGGGAGTGTTTACCGGCCCCGGACATTGGTAAGGCGGAACGGTCGCGAAAGAGACGGCAGGCGCCCCTTGCGCTGGAACTCCTGGAGACACTTGGGACGCTTGAGTTACCACCGGGGGAAATCCCACGCCTACTCCTCTGCTAAGAGCCTGGGCGTTCCAGCTAGCAGCTCCGGGCCCACTCACCCACGAACTTAGGGCGACGGTCACGGGAGTGCTTCTCTGCGTCGCGTCCGACGTGAGGAAGGGATCAGTTCCTAGTCCCACTGTCACCGGACTCTGGATAGTGTACCCTTGATAGGACGGTATCGCCATCCGGACTCTCGCAGGGGAAGGGGTCACTTGCCCGCCGTTCGGGGGTACATTTCCCGTGTTTCCAGTGTTTCAAGGCTGCGAGGGCTGCTGCGAAGCACCAGGGAGGTTCGCCGCCACTTCAGGATGCGCCATAGATTGGAGCCATCTACACGCGTTAAGCCAGCCTTCGGTCGAGTCGGTAGATCCGGGCGGGAACGCCACGAACGTGTCAGGGTTCGAGTCTTGAGGCGCCGCGGGAACGCTCGTCGAAGTGTCTCTCGGGACCGAGCCTTCCTCAGTCCTTCCAGTACCCGCATCCGGGCCACTCTGACCACGTACTCGGGCACCGGCACGTTGTACCATAGCGTGCACGGCCCCAATACCTTCGGTAGTAGTCAAACTCGGTCGGGAGGGATCAGTTAGGATCTCCTGCGGTCCAGCGACCATTCCTTCCTCTCCAGACTCGTCGTAGACGTCTTCGTTAGGGCCTTGCGCGGAAGACATCTCAGCCCCAATGTTTCTGCGTCGAAGTAGTAGTAGTAGACGCTCTTCTGCGAGTCTTCACTCAAACGAGACCTTCTCCAGCAAGCAGACTACCCTGCTTCTCCATTAAGTGTCGTACACCACCTCTAGGGTCGGGTAGTCCGTGGCTGTTCAGGGAGTACTGTCTCGAGTACTGGCAGGAACGGTAGCACAGGATAACTTAATATATCAAAAAGCTTCTTGTTTCTTTCTCTCACTCAGCTTAGGCAAGAGGTAGTAAATGTAAGACTGAGACTAACGAGGGCCTACCGCCAACTCGCATTCCTATACACGACACCGCTTCAGTTTATCTTGATCAAAAGAGTCCTTCCCCATGCCATCCGTCCTCGTGCGGTGACAGGAAGGTCCGAGACGCGGTCCACCTTGCGCATCCGGCCTTGTCCCCAGCCACGTAGGACGATAGGAGGGAACTCACACACCGTTCCTGTACTCCATCGTAGCGTTCGAATACAATCACACCATAACTTCACCGGTCTCATGTGCGAAGTGAGTGGGAGCTTGCGGGGTCAACGGGAACCAGCCGCCCACCGTCGCAGCTCGTTGATCCTCGCCGAGATTCCTTGGCACAAAAGCCTGCCCGCCAGCGCCTGGCACGACACCTACATTCCCGGGTACGGGACAGCTGATGCAGGACTTTGCCATAATGATGTCGCTGCTACTGATGATGATGCAACGCTGTGCCAAATTGCTGACTATTTAACGTGATCTCCTGGTATCACATATTAATACATGTGCGCCGCACGATAGATTAGATATCGTAACTGGCTATATTGCACAGCACGTCGTTGCGCCACCACTAATTCCCTAAGACCGATGTACATGTACCGATTTAGTCCACAATGGTACCCAAGGTCGGACGAGTAGCACTGACATCTCTTTGTAGTGCATCAAGTAAGTTGACGTTTTAATGGCAGACGCGTGGAGGGTAATGAAGCAAAGTGAATTATTTGGATAAACTTGTGACAGTGGAAAATATAAACTGTCCGGAGGCGCTGAATATGCAGTCAAATCATATGATTAGAGTTGAGGAATACTTAAGTACAAAATTTATGTATACTTAAATAGCTTTAAATATCAGGTGCTGGTATAGCGATGGTACTGAGCGATACTTAAGTACAAAGTTTATATAAGTAATAAGCTCTTAAATACCAGGTGCTGGTATACTACAGTACAAGTGAGAGGCCTTATTCTAGCAGACCATGCAACTCTATCTAACTCGCGGGATACACTGTACGCTTTGTTTGCGCCTAGTGTATTGCCAAATACTTGCCACCATAACGAGAACATACCGGGTCACTTTCCAATTTCTCCTTCAACGCACATTAGCGCTATTTGTGACCTCATATGCAGCTGCGCAGTATCCTGCTGGCTGTTGTAGCCTCCGTTCTTGCCACCCAGTGTGGTGCTTTTACTGCCGAAGCTGTTGGCCTTGCCATGCTCTCCAAGAGCAGTCCAACCGACCACAAGGCAACGAGTGTTACTAATCAGCGTGCCCAGCGGCGTTTAAGAAAAAGCGACACCGTTGGTACCGAGGATGAAATCAAGACTCACAAGACGAGGCGAGAGCTTTGTCATTACCGCAGTGGCTAGCCAATATTGTCGAGAGCCTTGACGATGTTGAGAAAGCACTCACCAAGTTGACCAAGGGACAATCGAATGTGGAGAAAGTAAAACGCTACGACATCCTTGTGGATAATATCGCGGCCTCGTTTGTTAAGCTGGAGGACATAGGGTATACGCCAGCTAAGCTACAAAATGCCATAAAGAACGGAGAAATGGTAGTTGAGAAACCTCATTGGTTTCTTCAGGCTTTTGAGACGTATTGGAAGACATCTCCGCGGCTGAATACAAATGCATAGATGTCTAAAAAGCTTGGGCAAGGAGCGAACGGGTTGCGGTGATCACGATGAAGAAAAGAGAGATAGATATTACCCAACTTGGGTGTGTTGATATCTTCTTAGCCGGTAAATGATGTTACTTTTGGCGAAAAGCAACAATTTTAGCGGCGTTTTATTTTGCTCCTCCCCGGTTATTGAATTTACGACGTTTGTGTCTGACTCAGATTTGGATGGGTTAGTAGGATTACCCCCCCCCCCTCCCGCTTCATCTCGATCCCAAATTTTGTTGCCGAATTCAAAACGCTTTAGGTGGACGTGGAGATCATGGGCGGCGCTCCTACAAAGGGGTCAATTTTCGCAGTCCTAGCGACAAACCCCACCATCCCGCCGGCGAAAAAATTCTGTACAGTTTATGGCGCCCGCTTAAACGGATGTATGCTTTAGTAAGTGTTGCAATGTTATCGATCATCAGCTCCACAACCACTGGTTGTGAAGCTCATTCTCAAAGATTAAAAGCTCTGTTGGGTATCTATTTAAAAGTACGACCGCAACTACAGGAAAATCAATAATTGCAAATTTTACAGGTGTGGTGATTGTCAATATTTTGGCGCTCTATTCCATTCTATCATCTACCTGGTCTCCCCATTTTGAACTCTTCGCGTACTCAATTGCGATCGACACGTCCCAGTTCAATTTGAGAAATATTACCGCCTCTAGTGTTAGTTTTAATCGAGCAATATTTAATCAATCTTTATTTTCATAGCTCTTGTGACGGGGTCACACAGCACCTTGCGCTAGAGGAAGTTAGCTTCCGAGAGTTTACAAACTCTCAGTGAACGGCAGTTCACAGGTCCTCTCTTTATCAAAAGAGAGCGAAGTGACCTATTTAAGGTAGAATGTAAACTGAGTTTATTTATAGGTAGATAAAGCTTGGGTTTTAAACAAACTATAAGTCACCTATATAAATGCAATGTCACCAACCAATGGTTGGCTTTGGACGACCTTGGTACCTTGTACCAAATATCTTGAAGTATGACGTGTCATACTTTATGTAACCAGGGTACACTTAGGACTACGTACCCCGTTACCTCCTCCACCACTTAGGTTCGGCTTACCGACCAATCAGAATGAAAAAGTGTTCGTCACAAACTTTCATTCTCAAAGTCGAAAACCATCGCCTTGGCCGCGCGAGCGCGGCAGGGGCTCACTTCACAGTTACAGCCTCGAGCAGCAGTCTGTGCGCTCCTCTTCTAGGTCTCCACTTCGACCGTTTACTATGCCTCGTGGCACCGCTAAGAGCGGTGCGAATACACGCTCCAAGGCTGCTACCGGGAAGGCGCAAGCCAAGAGCACTAAGCCTCACAGCAAAGGCTCGGCACTTAAGGAGGCTACTCAGGCCGCCTCCGAGTGGATCGGTTCATCGGGTGACGCTGCTGTGGGCAAGTGAGCAAGCAAGCGCCGCAGCCCGTCGCCCTCGGCCTCAGACAATCGTCCGAACCCTCGGTTCGTGGAACGTGAGTTCGGTTTTGGCAGTGAGGACGAAGCCGAGTCCGAGAGCACGCACGATGCTCGTGCGGGCTCTGTGGGCCCAGTGCCCAATGAACACAAGGACGACAGCATGCAGTCGCTCGCTAGTGATCAAGGTGATCACAGTCCCAGGACGTCTGTGCGCTCTGGCCGCCAAGGCCAAGGGCACTCCTAAAGCTGGTGACGATGAGGAAGAGATTCGTCGCAAACATCTCTCGCTTTCCGAGGGTCTTGCGCGTGCTAAGGCCCCTAAAGCTGAAGGCGCCAAGCCCTCTGAGAAGCGTACGGCTTCGCAGTCTCCACTCCGCGAGGAGAAGGAGACTCGATACTCCCACTGGGGCCTCTTCGACTCCTCGGAGGAAGAGGACGAGAAGGAGGAGGACGAGGAGGAGGAGGGTGCTATCTCTGGGCCATGGGAGGTCACGAATGACCTCGACCAGCAGCAGGAGGGTTTCCAAGCTACCCAGCGTGTGTGTGGGGGCTCGGTGGTGGCACCCGTCATCCAGGAAGCTGCCATCAACTCAAGAGGGTATTGGCCTCCCGAGGAGAGCTCTGGGGCTGACCTCTTCCTAGAGCTTCTCGTCGCTCCTCGTGGTCTTGTGGGCGGACCTACTTCTAGGGGCATCTACGACCCTGATCTTGTTTAGAAAGAACAGTTGTTCGCTGACAGCTTCGAGACTTTTCGGTGTGTGCTTCGCGCGCCACACCGCATCCCCCTTAAGGACTTCACGACTTGTTGTAAGAAGCCCGAGACCCGGGGTGGTCTCTATCCTCTGTGGGGATACCCCTGAATTCTGCCCGAGAACTGTCCCACCTGGCGTTCTTGTGAGGACATGTTCTGGGCCTGGGTGGAGGCCCTTAAGTACTCACCCACGGAGTTACGGGAACTCCATGAAGATCAGCTGCTGTCCCGCATCCTGGACCCGCGTGATCTTCATGTGAGGTTTGCCCACTTGATCAGCAAGCGTATGCTGCCAAGGGACATCCTGAAGCGCGCGGCTTCTAGCGCTCACGATGAGCGCGGGTACGGTGTGTCCTCAACGTCTGTACCCCGTTCGGGCAAGAAGCCCCAGACTACTTATGAAGCTGCCGTCGCTTCTGTTCCCAGATTGCGACAGCCTTCGGGCAGTCAATGAGGAGCCGTTCAATCGACTCCCACGAGTTCTCGAAGTGGGCATAACCCCCCCCCCCCACTTCACTTCACTAGGAGCTGTCGCTTACCGCGACGCCGTTGCTCCTGGAGGATCCGCTGTGTGGAAGTGGACTTCTCCATTCCGGTCAAGCAGGTGCGGAGGTGCCCTCGTACGAGTACGAGTACTCGGCGCCTCCCGAACGCCATTCTCGTCCGAGTGCTCCGGATGCGGGTCCGACACAGGGCATTGAGGTTGATCGACTCCGTCAACGTGTTCTCGTGCTTGAGATTGCACTTGGCCTGAGGACTGGCGGTGATGCTGCCGCCCAGACGGGAATCAGGGCGTGCTTGCTCGTCTTGCGGGCCGCCTGGACTTATTGGAACGTGAGGTCGCGAGCCTGCATCTGCGGGTGGATCGCCGGGTCTCTTCGGTCGATCTGGACGAGGCCTTCCGCATGATCCGACGGATCGAGGCTCTGCTGCCACGTCCGGAGCCGCCTTCGACGCACTCCCAGACGTACGCGTATGGTGCGTACCCGGCGTACTCCCCGTCCGTGTCTCGTGTGATGAAGAAAGTGGCGTACTTGGCGTATGGCTTCGGGGTCCGTTCGTATGGAGCCCCTTCCGCGTACGGTCTTGACCACAGCTTTGCCGTCCAGAAGAGGCTTGGGGCCTGCTCCGACGCTCTCGTCGACGTCTGTGACCCGCCCTCGCTTTGAGAAGCTGGGCCAAGGTGGGTCTGCGAGTCAGCAACCCCCTGCGGATCAAAGTATCGCTTAAGACGTCCAACATAGAACGTCGGTGCGTCGTCATTGACTTTGGTAGGTCGATGGTGTACGACGCACCATGTCTGGCCAGGACTGCAAACGGTCCGATGAAGCGGTGCTTCAGCTTGTTGCTGCCGACAGAGCTGACAGTGTCAAGAGGTAGGTTCCTCGTGTCTAGTAACACTAAGTCCCCCACTTTGAATACACTTAAGTTTCCTCTTCCATGTTTGTCGGAGTACATCCTGGGCCGCTGCCATGGCATCGCGGGCCCTGCTGACAACGTTCGGCTTGGTATCCATAAAGGATTCCACTTGTTTCCGCAGCGAAACTGGTCTCACATTCGAGACCTGGGAGGAAAGGGCTTTCCGAGCCTCTCCCCCACTTAGAATAGAGGAGTCTGTGTCTCCTCGAAGCGTGAGAGGCACTCGGGGGTGACGGAAGCCGTTCAAGTAGAACGGCGGGAACCCCGTGGACGCGTGCACCACGTTGTTGAGCGCAAACGCAACAAGTGGAAGCTGCGTCGACCACGTACGTGGTGCTGCCGCGCACACACTGCGCAGAGTGTCCTCGAGCACTCGATTGACGCGCTCTGTCTGGCCGTCTGTCTGCGGCTGGCCCGCAGTGGACATCTGCAGACGAGTTCCCAGTAAACGAAACAGCGTTTCCCAAACACAACCGTGAACCGCGGGTCTCGGTCCGAGACAATCGTCTCCGGGAGACCGTGATAGCGGAACACGCCATCGACGAACAACCTTGCGGTTTGTTCGCCCGCAACAGTGACGGGAACCGGAGCAAGATGTACCATCTTGCTCAGCCGACACACGAACACCAAGATTCCGGTGTTGCCGTGTCCGTCGGCGAGAAGCCCAAAGATGAAGTCAAGACGCATCGACTTCCAACAATCAGCAGGCTCTGTAGTGGAACCGAAGAGTGCCCTGCGCGTTTGACCCGCTGACACGTTTCACATGTCTTCACATATCGGGCGACCCACTTGTACATTTACAGCAAATTAGAACTTTTCAAAGTTCTGGCTTCTCTCCAAATCACTTATGTACTGTAGCTGGTGAAGTGTGGGATTGAACGAAAACCTAGCGTTTCCTACAGGACGGCACCCCGGTTTCGCGGGGTTGAACCATATAATATGTTAGCTAACAAACTCTAGTTTATTTGGAATCAGGATCATCACATCCAGAAGTGTATCAAAGGTCCTAGGGCGCGTAAACGGGGTGCAGTACTGTAGTAGCACGAACGAGAGTCGAGAGCGTCTATCTGACGCACCAGATCTTTCACTGCACAGTGAGGCTGCGTCAGCATTAGCAAAGTGTT